TGAGAAGTACATATAAGAGGCTGCTAACACTTGCTTAATTTAGATAATACACAGAGCTTGTTATATATTCTAAATTAAATGATCTCTAGTAGCATTTAAGTGGAATTTGATTCTTTGCAGTAGAAGTACTGTCCTGAATTGGGTATCTGAATATTAGCTATGTCACTTACCATCTCTGTAACCCTGGGCAGGTTATTTAGATTTTCTAGTCCTAAATTCCTTTGTATGTAATGTGGCAATAATGATTTTATCCTTCAGTGAGTTGCTTCAGAAATGGCTTAGATAATACATAGTAAGCACTCAAAAAATGTTTTCAATTGATCTTGGGATGTAGCTCTGTAGTAGAGTACCAGCTTAGTAAAGTACTTGGCTTAGTATGGGTCTGATCCCTTGTACCACACACATAATGTTTAGAACTTATCATTATTCGTATTAGCAACTTAGGTTAAAATCAAACAATTTCTGCTATTAAAAAATGATTATCAGTTGTACATATAAAAAGGGCAAGGAATGCATGATTCACTAACTTAAATCAGGTAGATAAATTTCATATTTCTTTCTTTAGAACTTTAAAAGGATATTTATTATAAGCTTCTATGATAGTTTATTGTGTTTACTCAAAAATCAATTTAGTATCAAACTAATTTGTGAATTTGCCATCCTCTAAGAAGAGGCTGAAATCAAAGGGATTTGATTAAATTTTTAAATTTTCAACCAGCTGTGTTTGCTGAAAATATGACTAGCAAGAGATAAAATGGAAGAGGGTTTATAGTGACAAGCATATGTACTGATAACTCTAAGCTGGAAGGAGTTTGAGTTTTTTCTTGCCGTATCATACTAGAACATATTGTACAAGAAAAAATATATCTAGGGAAGTTTCTTGGACACTGCTTGATAAATTACTTTCCAGATGTTCCAATTAACATATTCACAAAATGGTTCTTGAACTTACTCCTTAATTTTTTGTCATTAGAAGCCACTGGAAATGTTCTAAAATAAAGGAGGTAACTGGGAAGATTTGTAACTTTATAAATGTCTTATCAAAATGCATCGTTCAATTTTTTGAGCCAAGTAGACAATATTTAATGGTTAAAGATTTAAGTGACAGTACCATAATTATTACTTCAATCTCTGACATTTTTACAGGCCCCAGATTTTTACTTCTATATTCTCCTTCCCCCTCCCTGTCTTGGTCCCCACTTTCATCTTGTCCCTGCTTTTCTTCCCTTAGCTTTTTTTTTTTCCATCTAGCAGTCTTCTTGAGTTCTCTGTCTATGACCCTCAAGGATGAATTATAGAAGGATTACAATGGGATTTGATTGATTGTGGAATTTTTATGCAATCAGATTTCCTCAACTAATGAAAAGAATTTAGTTCACACTACATTTGTAAACCATGGTACCATTTTGGATGGTTTTCTTACTAAGAGGTCAGTGGTGATAAGAATAATCCCAGGTTATGAGAAAAGAGGGGATCAAAGGCTAAGAGTAGGGGCTGGGGATTTAGCTCAGCGGCAAAAGTGCCTGCCTGGCAAGCGCAAGGTCGTGAGTTCGGTTCCTGGTACCCGAGAAAAACAAAACAAACAAAAAAAACAAACAAAAAAAAAGGCTAAGAGTTGTGATTAAACTCATCTAGTGAAATTGCTTCCAAGATTCTAGTCTGAGTTTCATATCCTTTCCTCAACTTCACTACTCATTCTTTTCAAATTTGGCCTCTCTCATTTCTTTATCCATCTCTCTCACTGAGACCCAGTTATAAGAGAAAGTACAAACACAAAAGTAACATTGAATGGAAACAGATTTTAATGAAGTCATTCTTTGTGACTTTGTCAATTTAAATAACCAAAGCAGAGTAATACGCAGGAACCAAAGTAACTGCAGTAAACACAGTCTTCCACAAAAGTCTGCATCAAAAAGGAATTGCCCCTGCTTCATAACCAAGATGATACTAGATGCAACTACGATTTCTCTCTGTTTCTTTAAAACTTCATACTAAATAATAGTAGAGTAAAAATGCAATGTATGATCGAGAGGCCAAAAACAGCACTCAGCCCTATCACCTTAGTTATTCAGGCATTCAGCTGTGTAACCTTGGAAAACCTCTGGATTCCATGTAGTAGAGTTGCCAATGCTTATGTTCTTAAGAAAAATATCTTTGTTGGACTTGCTAATGGCTTGTAAACATGGAAGAGGAAGTCTACCCTCTATAATGAAATTATAGGAGACCAAACATTAAGTATTAATAGCCTGGCCTCTCCTGGAAGCTCTGGAAAGTAGTAATCAGGTTGAGTATTTTTGATACAAATACTGATATAATAAGCAATTCCATAATTTCTTTTCAAGAGTTGAAAACAGAAGCTGTATAAAAAGTATCAGACATGCTTTCAGAGCATTAGTTCTCAAATTTGGCTGCACATAGGAACTGCTCAAGAAAAACTTAAAGTGACTGTTGCTTGGGTTGATCCCTTGAGATGCTGACTTTATGGCCTCCTATTATGGGCTGGAAATTAGATTTTTCAAAGCTCTTTGGCTGATTTCAGTGTGTGGTCAGGATGGAGAAACTCTGATCTATGACAAGGCAGGGAGCTGAAGAAAGAGTAGTAAGCCCTGTAACTCAAAGTTTGATCCAAAGACCAGGGGCCTCCAGGAACTTGCTAAAAATATAGGTTTCCAGGTCACACCCCAGACTTCCAGAATAAAAGTGTACATTTGAATAAGACCCCCACTGATTCCCATACTCATTAAATGCTGAGATGTACCTGAGCTGCAGAGATACTCTGATGGCTGGGTTAAATACCTTCCTAGCCCTAATCTTCTTTAACAAAGCGGGCTTCAATATTAACTTAGTTTTACTAGTATGCCTCCCTAGTGGAAAGAGAGATTTCTTTGTTCCTGTGCATTAAGTTGCATTTTAAATGAAAGCTAGACTTCTCCAACAGTCTAAGGCATTTTCTGAGTGGGAAGAACGTTTGCTCCTTTACAGTTACAATGGTTCTCATCTCTAGCTGCAATTTTGGATCTACCTGGAGTGCTTTTAAAATGTACTGGTCTCACATCAGATCTAGTGAATTAGAATTTCTAGGGTAGAGCCCCAACATTTCTATATTTTAAAGCTGTGAAGTGGATTTTAATGTGCAGCTAGCTTTGAGAATCATTATGGATGAATTCAAAGTCCACTGATTCATATATATCATTGCCTCCTTTAATCCAAAAATAGTGCAGTCAGTCATTTTGGCTTCTTAGAAGACTGTTATCAATTACTTCATTTAATAATAGATTAACCTGCATTATAAGATCCGTTAAATATTTAGTGCATGGTAGCTTGGTATCCATTTCAGTTCTCCCTTATTTTATAGGTAAGAGTTGATTATCCACATTAACAAAGGAAGTAATGACAAGCATATAATATAGTATAGTAATGCAAAAATAATGCTAACATTGTATTTATGAAACAGAACATTTCATTTCATAGTGCTTTTGCCTCATTATATCTTTGGAGAGGTATAAAACTTAGCTTGGACACCCCAGCCAAAGGGTGCAGAGAGATCTTCAAGGTATAGGTGGGCATAAAGAAATCAGCCACTATGAAAGATCCACAAAGTAGATTTAGTCCAGTGGGTTTTTCCAGCTGAGGAGCCCAAATCACTTTTCAGGGCACATAATACACAAAGATTGCAGATTGGTCTTCAAATATGAGTTGAAAATGATTCAGAAATCAAATAACTAAGCAAAGTGGTTGAACATACAAGTTAGCTGAAGAAGAACAGAATTCATTTTGAATGAAATGAGGCAGCTTAACTCTAAATCACTGCCAAATAGTCTTTTTTAATTGCACAAAGTATAAAAATAGGATAACATTCATGTAAAATTTCCTCTAAAATAGTTTTTGTTCCCATCCTGAAAAAAAAACCAAAGCATAGAATTCCATCACAAATTGAATTTTGTCATGACCAAGGAGAGCTCCTCTCTGGTTCCTCAGGTTTTTTTAAAAACCTATCAGGAAATATTTGTCCTTAAAGTGATAGTTGCAAAGATTATTTGAATAAAATATTATCCATATATTTTTCATAACAGGAATTTCAAGTACAAAGATAAATATGAACATCATCAAATCCACACAGCCTTTGAGACTGTGCCCCTCTGATAGGAAAAGCTCCACCAGAAGACTTCTGTAAGGCTGATCTAGGATGAAGATAGGCCACTGAATACTGGTGAATTAATGTTTAATTTATGTCATTAGGTAATACTAACATAAAACCCGAAAGACCTTGGGCTACAAATGATTAAAACATCTTTCTTATCTCTTAGACCAAACCTTTAAGTTAGATGAGAATCTTTAGTTGTCTACAAAGATCTGTATTGTATCTAAATAAAAAACCATTATATATTTATGATCAAATGCTTAATAAACGATAAGCCATTCAATTGAAAACAGCTTGACAGTGTGCGTAGTATAAATCTTTCTCATAAATCTGTCTCTAAAATACTGCCATCTCACCATTTGTAAATCCTAGCAGCAAATCACACAGGCAAACACCAATGGTTTTGGACAGGTGTGGGGAATGTAACAACCAGTTTAAACAAGTAGTTGTTTTATCCATCAGAAGATCAGAGTTTGGTTTGTTATTTTATAGTTTTTATGCTAAGTAGAATGGTCTGCATCCATTTACTCTTACTATACATTTCTATTTAAAAAGAATATATAATCATACTCTTAAGGGATATGATTGTGAGCTACATGGAAGGGTAGAGAAAATTGCAGCGGGCTGATACTGATAATAGACTTTTATAGTAACTACCTGTATGCCCTCAGATCAAGCACTTCACTCTTATGGGTAGATGCATTATCTTTAAAATATGAAGTTTTGAGTAAATGTTCTTTAAGCTTATTTTCAATTCTTGCAAGATTCTGTGAATTAAATTCTAGTTTAGGCATGATGCAGTATGAATACTAAATAGGATCACATTTACATGTTGAAGTTTCTTTTCAAGAATACTTACAGTTAAGTCTGGTGGTCCTGGAGGTCCTATATCTCCCTAAAGCAGAAGAAAAAAATTATTTTTCACATTATTTATAAGTTTCTGAGTGAATAGCAGCAATATCTGTAAGTAAATCTTGAAAGACATAATACAGTTTGTCTTGATAAAAGTCTATGCTCAATAAGAAATTTATTATGTGCCTTTCAGTTCTCGTGATATAAAAATTGTCTGGGTAGCTTTGCGCTTTTTGCAGTAGCAGAACTTGTTTTGAAAAGCTAAAATAATCTTACTTTTTCTTCTTTTGACTACTAATCCAAAATTAGAAAAAAAAATCCTTTCAAATATGGTTACTTGCCAAGAGAGCAGCTGGGGAGTGTCATAGTCACAGATAATTTTTCTGACAAAGTTAGGATGAGGATCAGCAGAAATAATAAGTGGATCTCCCTACTTCATGCCTCCCAGCTGCAAGAAATGGTTCCCATGACCTCTCCTAAGCTCTGCTGAACTGGCATTGTCTTTGCCATCAATGGAAAGAGGCTTTGCCTATAATGATGTATTTTTAAATGCTGAAATGGTTTTGCTGACACCCCCATGTTACTACAGATTCCCAGCAGCTGTTACGTTGACAAACTATTTGGAATATTTAAAAAATGGCTAAAGGTTCACTATTTTCTAATTTCTTTGTCACTTCTATGATCTGTTATCTTAGAAACTCTGCTACAAAAGCACTCTGTAATTAAGACCCAGTGTCTTGGCCTTGGTTGTTGTTGAGTCGAACATAATAGTCTGCATGTCCATGTTGTGTGGCATGGACTCTGGGACATTATACTCTCCTATTGAGAGTATCTTTAGGACTTGTCTCATTGAACTTAGCTACCTCAAAAGTAAAGATATACTGTATATTCATTATTTTTTGGAACAACCAAATTAAACATAACCATAATTGCCTAGGTATATGGGTATAGTTCAAATAACTGTTAAAGAACACCAGTGTAGTTTAAATCAGCTACAAGATTTGTAAGATAACTTTTAATGTACAGATTAATATTTAAGATAAACAAGAGTTTCTCTTTTTGGTACTGGGACTTGAACTCAGGACTTTGTGCTTGCTAGGCAGGCACTTATGCCACTGAGCTAGATCTCCAGCCCTAAGATAGACAAGAATTTCTAAATGTGTTGAGAAGGGAGAACAAAATACAGTGCAATGCATACATGCACACACAATTTCCATCACATGGGGATCACCTAGTAACCTTATTCCACACGACTTTTTTTGAGGATGCATGCATTTTATTATGTTCCATCTTAAACACACTGTCAATTACATAAATTATTTAAATTGTATAAACCCTATACAGATTAGGGCTATATCTTCAACACAACAAAAGTAGATTTAGCTCAATGCACAAAAGGCTTTATAAGCCTCCCTCCTTCACTCATTATATTTTTTCTTAATGCATTTTTCTTCATTCAAAGTGTATTTAACACCATATCTTATGCAACCAACTAACTCATTTCTGGAATTAAGTGATATTGTAAATTAATAAATCACTCCTTCATGTCTAAATCTTGGTGAATGCTAAACTCTAAATATGCTTGAGGTCCTGGAGCTCAAAATGTAGCTTCACTATAAAAAACTTAGCCAAGATTTTAAATTAAATTATTGCCAGAGAGAACGTAGTAAGTCAAGGCTCATCTCGCTTTTGCTATTACATTCCTTAACACATTTTTTAGAGGTTACTACCAATATACCATCACGAAATAGCATGTGGGAAAAACTGGAAGGAAACAGCATTCAGACAAAGACTGAGATACGAGTTAGTCCCCTCCCCTAACAAAGCCCTCTGCTTTCCCATTACAGTGGTAGCTCAGTAGCTGAGTTTCCGCACTCTGGACCTCTTTGATAATTTGGTGACTAAATACCTCATGCTGTTAAGCATGGGTGGAAAAAGTGAATTCTAAATACAAGTTAATGTTAAATAGCAACAGTGCGTTTAGAGTCTTCAAAGTAATTAAATGAACCAAAAGGGTCTTCATGTTCAGATGCTTTTAACCTAATAGTCTTCGGTTGATTTTTAAACAGTTTTGGCAGTTAGGTAGTATTGACAAGAAGTCACAGCATAAGTGCTGTGGTTTTCTTAAGAACAGATTGGTACATTTTTGGGTAAATATATTACCTTTTCTCCTTTTGGGCCAGGTGGACCACGAGGACCTAAGTCACCTTTCACACCCTGTGAAAAAGAATATGATCAATATGATTTTTATAAACAGTTCACAGAAAACTTCAATTTATAAAAAGTCGTTAGTGACAAAAATATATCATAATTTACTGAATTCCAGAATACCGTTCTTCCTTTTGTAGTACACAGAGGAAGAAAGACAATGTCACTAAAATAATCAGCAACATCTGTGTCGTGGTGGGTACAGATACATTAAATCAGTGTGAAGCCTCAATACTGCATATTTGTGCAACTTTGCTTCCTGCTAAAATTACATTAATTCACCATCTGGGAGAACATCATTTAGATCTATATGAGCTTTTAAGTATCCACTTTGGATTAAATTTGTGGATGTTGTAAATACCTCTGATTTAGCATTGATTTGGCCTTTATAAAGCTTGCCAAAAAATTCAAGAGTTAAATAAACAATATTTTTATGTCTCTATCAAGGAATATAATTGTGGGAGAAAAAGAACGAAGGATGCATTCTTTTTGTATCACAGCACTGGAGCTAACGTGCAATCTATTTCCTGTCTTACAGGATAGTTTTCTAATTCCTTTTCCCCTTTAACCTGGGTGTATAAGGCTATCAAGAGAAGCTATGTGAGGCACAGACAGAATATCAGGTAGATATTTTCATGAATCCTCTGGACTCTTGGGTGTTTAGCAGGTATTTAGTTGATCTGACTCAGAAATGACAGCTTTCGTAAATACAATAGGTTTCACGGGAGATCAGTGCTACAGCAGAATGCATTCAAGGTCCAAATACAAATAAAGGTAGATAGACAAATCCTGACTGTAAATAGGGAAAGATATCATCCTTCATCCTTGATTTAACACACTGGATGGGAGAGGAACAGTAATGGAAAAATGCATCATTCTAAAGCCACACAATGCACAGTAAGTCTAGGTGTCATGCTGTTCCGAGCTGAAGAATTCAGCTATTACTGTCGACAGTTTGTGGGGGAATAAATAATGCCAAATACCAGCACCCGTACCTACTCAATATAGCACCAATGATGAATTGAGAGAAACAAAAAGAAAATTTGATACTTAGGAATAATCTTGCTGCAGAACGTATGTGAACTGTGGTCTTACACCTTAAGAAAAACACTTTAGTGGATGACAGTAAGATCTAACTGACAAAAAAGCCCTTGGTAGTTGCACTGGTGCTTTGATGGGTAAAACTCATAGCTGTGTTTTTCTGGAATCATTTTGGAATATTTATAAGAAAAAGAGGAGTAAAAATTAAATTCTATTTGGTATACTATTCTCATTAATACTTCCCAAATAAAGTGTGTTTAAAGCAAGAAGGACAGTATTTTTGTTTTGGAGGGAGGTGAGTGGCTATGTGCTTTCACTGTAGCACATTTTTAAGAATTTAAACATGAATCATGCTTTTTAGTCATACATCATAATGTAACTGTTTTCAAATACCTTTGGTTATAATTCAGAACATAGATTTCAGCGAACATGAGTGGAAGAGGGTTCCAAGGCAAGCCGGCCAAGGTACAAGAGGCAAGCCTCTTGCACCACCAAGAGGGAGTGTGCAGGTGATGTGTGAGGAAGTAGGCATGGAGATGACCCCTGCTAGGCTTAAGTAACTGTCTCCAAGTTTGTTACACTACTCTCTTCTTGCTCTTTTCTCTCTCCAGAGAAGAAGTGAACATGAAAAAGGAAATTCCTGAAAAAGACCCTGAGATCCCTATTCAACCAAAATTGTTAAACATCTATAAACACAACTGATTAAACTACACTCTTTATGTAAACATGAGAATGTGAAAACAATTTTTTAGAAATCAAGAGAACTGTAAGCACAATGTTTAGGTAAATGGTCAACCCTGGCAGATGGGTGAGTTACAGAGCAATAGCTACATGGGTAGATTCTAGGGGCAAGATGCTTCCTAGTTCTTCCATTGAGTTCTGGATTCACTAGTGTTCCAGTTACAACCCCAGCTCAGAGCCATTATATACACACATATACTATTTCATAAGCATAAAGTAATATATTTTTAAAGATTCCTGCCTGCTAACTTAACCCCAACTATGATGTCTAAGAAAAAGACTTATTGGAAGTTAAGTCAGCTCCCTCTCAGGTGTTCAGCCAGGTATAATCAGGGGTGAAGAGATACGATAACCAAATACAGGAAACGGAACACTGAGGAGCACGGTAGAAGCACATAGCAAGAGTGAAGTGAACCATTCCCCGGGATCCCTAGTCCACTGGAGATGCTCAAGACGTGGGAAAAATGGAGTTCAGGAGAGGCACGAGAGGAATGACATTTTATGCACAAACTGAGGTAGTTTATTTAAGCAACCCACAAAATAGGCAGAAGTAATAGCTATTTTGAAGAGTTATTCTGACAATCATATGTTGTAAAAACATTCACTATGTGGCAGGTACTTAACAAATGTTGCTTTTATTTTTTATGTACAAGTGTAGGGATAACTGATAGTTCTTTCTGTTCTGCCTTTTTCTCAGTTTGATGGATATGTACCAACTGTGCTTTAACTGGATGGGATAAAATGCAATTCACAAGTATTGTATTCATTAAGCTTCTACAGAAGTGGACCCCTGTAACTCTTGTCCTCCTGTGACAAAGTATAATGTTGTTAAGGCCATGGCATTGGAATAGGCTGAGAGAAATGGAGCTGTAAGTACAGTTTTTCTCCTCCTGTCACCCCAGTGCTGTTATCAATGGCTACTGAGTGCTGGGGGGGAAAAGACACAGTACTCACTAAAAAGCGTAAAACACCCAGTGGTTCTGAGTCTGAATTTAAGACTGAGTAAGGTGGGTATTGTTACAGAGGTTTTCAGTAAAATGTATGTCTATAAAGATTCTTAAACACAGAGGCGTCAACTCTGCATCAACATGTATAGAGGCAGAGGTTGTACTAATGGCAAACTAGAAGATAGATCACACTATTACAACTGGAATTACAAAGCAAGTGGACTAAAAAACTTTTATTCCCTCTCTCTACCCTCCCTCCAACTCGTGATGCCCTTCCTATTTGAGAAAGATCTTGCTATGTCCTATTATCTTTTATTTTTCTCTCTATTTATATTTTGGGGTTTCTCATCTTTAAAAATCAGATAACACAAAATAATATGATTTGCTAAAATCTGAACCCATTAATTACTTCTTTTTCCCAAGCTTCCACTGCTTTGTATCTCAGTTCCCAGCAATGGCAATAGCTGTTGCCAGCTGATATCTCTGGTTTTGTATTTCAGTATTTTTGTATTTAGTAGTACAGATTGCATTGGTATGAGGAGATTAACACGATTATTTTAGAAACATCAGATGCTCTCATTCTGATAAGGGATAGTTGGAAGGCCCTATTAAAGATGCAGAGGGGACTAAAATCAAAATGCAAATCTACTTTTTCTAGATTATGTAATTCTACAAAAACAAATAAGTGAAAATATCTCTTTTCTATCGGAGCCAAATGTGCTTTATTTAACCCAGTTTCTAATTATAGGAAATGATGTATGGTTCTTGTTATATGCAGAACACTGTTACATGCTTCATGTGTGATGACCTCTTTGGTCCCACCCCAGAAAAAAAATGTAAGGTCAATAGTAGTGACATCCCATGGTGCATAGAGAAACTGAGGTAGAGATGCTAGTGTCATAGGCCAGCTTAGTAACAGAGCAGGCATTTAAGCTTAGATCATCTGGCTTGAAAAGTCACAATAATAAGTTTATAATACTCCTTCTCAAACTTCTCTGCAAATGCCATTATTGAATGCATCTCATATTGGGTCACAATCAAATCATTTAGTTATAGGTTAGAATATGTATAATGATGAGGTATTACATTTCAAAGGAAAAATTCTAGCAATTTAATTTTTGACAGTTTCAATCTACGTTTGGAATACCTGGTTTAAACTGTAAGGGCACCGTGTTCATTTGTACCACGGACATCAAGCAGAAGTTTACATGCGCTGGCACAGAGCCAAGGATATATATAGCCAGGAAGACAGCAGATCATCCTGCTGCTCCAATGACTGGGGACCATTACTGGCTGAGAGAAATGGAGCTGTAAGTACATCCTGCAGGATGCCAGATATCCTACTTTTACAAGACAGTCCAACAAGGCAAAGAACTGTCTTGTCTCACATGCCAATAGTGCTCTGCAAAGAAAGACTGAGCTAGGGTATCTTTCCCTTTAAATTAAAGTCTATGTTTTTCCAGGAGGAGTGAGCCCATTTTATGGGGAGCGTGGCATAGAAGGAATTATTATAAGATACACTGACATCTAAATATGAAGTGTGACAAAAAATATTGAGGTGAACATTTAAATTTATTATAGTAAAAGACACACTACCATTAATCCTTCTTAAAATACTCAAAATATCCTGCTGTTTGAACACACTGAACCCGTCATTTTTTTTTTAATTTAAATTTATTGGTACAATTTAGGTATACATAATGGCCAAATTCATTATAGAGAATTTGTATCTGTACACGATATTCACTCATCATTCTTGGCAATGTACCTTTCACTGTAATATGTAAAAAAAAAGATTTAACATTGACCATAGTTTTGATCACCTCTTGTAGAATATGATAATGAAGACTGTAGAAAAGAAGGTTGTTTGAATTAATTTAGTACCAATATCAAATCATTCCAACTGACTGTGATTTAGAAAGAGGCTTAGGAGTGAACTGGCCAACAGAGTCTGACACCCACGCTTTCTAATGCAATTCCTGAGACTAATACTCATGATGACTTTAATTCAGATGAAAATAGTCACTGTAATAACCTTCATTTCCTAAAGCACCCGTGCTTCTTGCCAGATTGAACTGTCATAAATGCTGAGTTCAATTTGTAGAGTCAGTATGTTTTTTTTTTTACGTTGAAAAATAGGCAATGATGGTTGACATGATTTAATGGGAAAGTAAGACTTTTCAGTCAAACATTTAGGGTTTGTGTCACTATGTTCTAAAATAAAGGTTGCATCAGTTTCCAAGTTTCTGTTTGCTGCCCCTGAAAAGGGAAAGTGATACTCCCTGTTGCACTTATTCTATAAAGCTGCAAGGGGACTAAATCTCACTTTTCTTGCAAAAACAATTTAGGGGCTACTGCCACAATGCCACCACCAATAGGAATGTGATGTTTTACTTCTAGTGGCAGAGAGAAGAGACAGGAGAAGTTTCACTGCTTTTTCTTGGTCATGACTTCTGAGTATCCTTCACAAAATTAAGGAAAGGAAAATAACACTATCTACATAGTAAGCAAGTAACCAAATAAGAAAAGTTAATGTTCTTTGTCATATTTATAGTGTTCTTTTCTTTCTTTTTTTTTTTTTTGTCTTTTTCTGACAGGATCTTGCTATGAAGTTCAGGCTGGCCTTGAGCTCACTTTGTAGTCCAGGCTGGCCTTGAGCTCACAACGATCCTCCTGCCTCAGCTCCTGAGTGCTGGGATTACAGGTGTGCGCCACCATGCCTGGCCTTTATAGTGTTCTTAATGAGCTACATTAAGCAATTATGGTACTGAAGAAATAGCACCTCTGTACTGGGACTTACAAAGAACTCTGTGGAACCCTTCCTGAGGAGATGGGTCACAGTGCCTGCCCACCGGGCTGTGTGCCCTCTCAGCAAGCCTGGTCTCATGAGATTGAAACTCAGACAGTGGCCACCAGAACATTTGGACCTGCACTAGGTACTCTTGTGTGTGTATCAGTTAATTTCAAAATGCCAATTACTTTACTTTCAGACAACCTAAGAAAATCTTCCAAATCTCTAAATTTTAGTTATAATCAAATGTTTAGAAAAATTCCTTTCTATGTCTGTATTGAAGCACTAATATTATCTTTATGAGCTCAAAATCTTGTTTTGCTCATCTATGTACAAGTCCACAAGCGTGGAGCTTGGTTATCCTTTGCAAGATTATGATCCATCTCTTTTGATGCTCTTGTATTTCTCACACATCGTTATGTTTTAGTTAAAAAATGTCTCCTGAAAGTCTCATGTGTTTGGAAGGTGAGTGGATCATAGGGGTGCTACACGCATCAGTGGATTCATCCACTGAAGAGTTCATAGCTGACTGTGCTCCTCAAAGGTGGTGTTTGTTGGAAGGAGTGGATCACTGGAGTGTGACCTGGAAGGGTGTATTCTTACTCTCGGAACCTCCATTCCCAGCTTCCTGGCTGCCATGCGCTGAACATCTTCCCTCTGCCAAGCCCTTCCACCATTCTGTTTCTGCTTTGCAGCCAGTTGACCATGGACTGAACCTTTTGAAGCAGTAAGACAAAAATAACCCCCCATTTCTTTAAATTGCTGGTATTGGGTACTTTGTTTCAATGATGAGAAAGTGACTAACACTCAAGCTAATATTGTTTTCATAATGATCAAAGCATCAACATATTTTTGAAATGTCAAATTTTATATCTATATCTGTATCTTTATCTATAGCTATATATATCTTATCTCTACAATACCACTCTCTGTACCTTCCTTTAAGATATTATCCTAGTTTAGGGTCTCATTATTTGTACTTTAGGCTATTAGAATAACTGCTCAGTTTTTCAGATTAAAATTCAGCTAATATTTATGGAAAGCCCACCCTAAACATTTACTAAGAACAAGGTATTCTAACGCATAATCTTTGCTTCCATGGAGAGACAATATAAAGAACAGCAAAGCAGATAAAGGTCCAAGGTATCCATTTAGAACACACCACAGAATGAGTCTTCCTTTACACGCAGCCTGGACTATATCTCCCCTCTGTTTGTAGAAGGACAAGTGCCCTCAAGTCCAGCTCTTCTTGTGCTCTGTTCCTGCCTTGCTGTGGTTTACAGTGCCTCACATGTGGCATGGATTCAACAGACCTGAATGAGTGCTTCACATCTCATCAGGCTTTTCAAGTTTGTAATCTTAATGTCTCTTGGTATAAAAGATGGGGACAGGGACTTTTGAATCTATTCTGTCCTTTACAAACTCTTTGCTCAGCTAACAACACAGTGAGGACACCACAGGACCTCCAGGGCTCAGACTCCTGCCCCAGGTTCTTCTGGAACCGGAGGGGCAGCCTGGGATGTGCTCTCTTTAAAGGTAGGTGTCAGTCTCTGAACGTGCTCAGGTGGCTGAGAAGATGCAGACCTGTCCGTGCATAGGACATTGGGGCCACAGCACACTCTTAGGCAGAGGAGACTCCAAAGAGAAAGGAGCATGAATGAAAGTCCTATTGAAGACAGCAATGGTGCTTCCTGGGAAATAAGGAGGAATAGAACTGCGTGGTGCAGGGTTAGTACTGTTAACTACTGGGGTTCGCGCTGGGTGTTTTCCTCCTGGAGGAACTCCCCCAAGGACCCTGCTTACTTCCTCCACAGACTGGTCAGCTTCCCTTCCCACTGTAATGATCTACTCCACACAAGATGGTTTTGCAGCACCTTTGGGGTTAGGGAGCTGAACACAGCTGCATGTCCTGTTTTCTGATTCTTTTACATATAAATCAGTGGTGTGGCCTTTCAGGACCTTTAAAAACTGGACACTTGTAAGTGAGAAAAAGAAACCAATGGGAAAATGACTCATTTTGGATACATCTTCTTTGCTGCACTTGGCATATTTGTAACAAATGCTGAGTTTGATGACCTAGAATAGGGTCGCATTTCAGAGGAAAACTCAAGTTTGGCTATTTTACAAGTTTTTCCCTAAGACCTGGAATGATGTTCTAGCTAGGAGGAGGGACAGCTATCCCAAGGGACAGGGAAGTCCATGCCCACAACTGGAGGGTGTCACAGATGGAGGTGAAGCAAGGGGCTAGTCATTTATTCAATTTTTAAAAATTTTTAAAAATTTTATGGTATTTTATTTTATTTCTGGTTTTTTTCTGGTATGGGGAACCGAACTCATGACCTTGCGCTTGCCAGGCAGGCACTGTGCCACTGAGCTAAATTCCCAGCCCCTAAAATTTTATTTTAAAGAGAGTAGTAATTGAGAAAAAAAAAGAACAATAGCAGCATACCAGCATTGCTCAAAGGAAGGAACAACTGGGATAAGGGAAAGAAGAAAAAAGAAAGAAGTAAGGCTAGTCATCGAGATACAGTCATATCTTGGGACTTGACTGCATTGCACTCATCAAATTTGGTTGTAACACATTTTCATGTGAAAACATTGTCCCGGTGTACATTGTTTGTTTGATACGCAAGTGTAAGCTAGAAGTTGTCCATGACAACTGCCTTCTGAGTTTCCAGCCTCTCCAGCAAAACAACCTTCTTGGTACTTGTGATTTGGAGTGCTTTTTTTTTGTTGTTTGTTTTGGTTTTGTTTTTCTTCCAGTACCAGGAATCAAACTCAGGACCTTGCTCTTGCCAGGCAGGCGCTGTGCTGCTGAGCTAAATCCCCAGCCACTGGAGTGCTTATAGTGCCTTCTGGAACCTTTAATAAAGAGCCCTCAGGTGCCACTGCAGTTTCTCTCCTTCCCTTCCTTTTTGTTATGTTAATCCGAGCAATACAGACCTCTCCCTCCAGTGGGGTTTGGGGTGAGATGGAAGAAAAATCCACCCACCCAGGACAGCACAGAATGTGTATAAGAAAGAAGAGAAAAAAGGAAGATTTTTTAAAAGCAACTCAGAAATAGCAAGGAAGAAAAGGCTGTTAAGGGTAAGCACAGATATAAAATTTAAAGCCAAAGAAAAAACATATAATGAAACTAAAAACAGTATGCTACTAATAGTCACTAAAAGAAAACTGTCTTGATTCTTAATTTTGTTTTATTATAGCTAGTTCTGCCAAGAGAGTTAGATCTTGATAGCATTAGATGTTTCAGTGGCAAAATGTAAACAGACTGTTAGAAAAAAAGACTTAGGCTTACATCTTGTCCCTTAACGCCAGCCAGACCCGGGTCCCCTTTTGCTCCTGGTTCACCCTGGAAAGAAACAATTTATACAATGAAAAAGGCTGTATCTGAAAACCTTCACTAAGGAAAAGCAGGAGAGTTACATTGTTTGGATATTTGTAACAAAGTGATTACTTTGTTAATCCCTTGAAAGAAACATGTATTAAAAGACAATTCTGAGTCCTAAAACCTAAGAGAGCTTAAAGGTTCAAAGAAAAGCTGCATACAATGATTAAAGGGTAGAAATAGAATGAAGATTATTTATCTTCTCCTATAAGCAACAAAGAACTTTCTGGAGGCAATTTGGCAATATATATCAAGGATCTTAAATTTATTCATTTCACTTGGTCCAATGATTTCATTTCTAAGGCTGCCTCCTAAGGAAATAATCAGAGATGAAAAGCTTAAGGCACTAATATGTAGACTGCAATGATATTTATAGGGGTAAAAAAGAAAAGCATCCTAAATGCCCAGGATAAAGTATGGTATATAAATGTAATGAGTATCTATAATGTAGCCATTGAAATAATGTTTATGAATTTCATTTTATACTGTAGGAAAATTCTGATGTAAAAAGTAAAATAAAATTAGTGAATTGATTAATTCAGTGAGCAAATGTTAAATGTTAGTATTACTATGTAAAAATGACATATCTTCACTAATACAACTGTGCATGATACATATACACAGCAATGTGTATTCTTGTTTGATTTTCATCCAAAAGGTATGTGTGTATTTATTGGCATGCCCTGGATATCTATGAAACAATTCAATTTCTTAAAATATGCCTATGTTCTTATTTATTTATGTACTTATTTACCTGCACATCTGTTTGCCTGTGGTTCGTAAAAACAATAATGGGAGAAAACAAAGAAAAAGAATAAAAGTGCTTAATCTACATATTCTGTGATTATGGATATTTTTTGTTTGTTTCACTTTCTGTTAATGTTTTTTTTTTCAATTTTTTCTAGCAATAAACATGTATTACTGCATAATTAGTAAAAAGTTGAAAAATGAAACAATGTGTCATGTGCAAAATAAATTGGATCAAGTCTGCCTCTGTGTATGTGTGGACATGTGGTTATACACAGCACCAGTGGCAATCCTTGCTTTATGCCATTACAGTGATTTTCCTTCCTTGTTTATACTGTTTATTCTTTCACTTCTTTTTCACAATGATCATTGTTATTTTTTACTTGCAAAAATATTAAAGAGAAGCAAATATTCAATTTTAAGTATAGTCCATTAAATACAGAAATAATCTACAAACAGGAGTCCATGTATATAATCTGAATCATCTAAGAATATGCATTATTTCTACAATGAAAACATAAGAAATGAAGTGAAAATAACTTGATCACTGGAAAACACACACACACACACACACACACACAAACACACACAGAGACAAAGATTCATACTTGGTGACATAGGGTCAAGGTAGAATGAAACTGAAGATTTCAAACTGAAGTGGAAGGTGTTACTTGAAAGTGGAGATGGCTAATACACAGCCACTACCTACACGCAACTGTTTAAATTTTTTTTTGTTTTTGTTTTTTTGTTTTGTTTTTCTCTGGTACCAGGAATCGAACTCACAACCTTGCGCTTGCCAGGCAGGTGCTGTGCCGCTGAGCTAAATCCCCAGCCCCGCAACTGTTTAAATTAAGTAACAGCAAAAAATCACTTGAAAACTTCAGTTTTCAATTGTCTTAGCCATATTTCAAGTCAACAACAGTGTCCACCATATTGAATTGTGCAGATTAGAATATTTCTATCCTCCAAGAAAAATTCATTGAGCAGTGGTGATATGAAGGGTATCCTGTAAGACAGACAGCAAAGGACTGGGGCAGAGCTCATGCTTGCCCAGCATGGCTGAGGCCTGGGTTCTGGCGGAAGAGAGGGGGAGAAAGAGAAGGAGGGAAGGAAGAAGTGAGGGGCAGATGCAAAATAATAATAATCCAGTTTATAAGTACATACCGAAAAATGTCTATCTAGTTAAAGAATCATGAAAAACACAGTGTTTAGATGTTGGCCTAACAGTGCTTAACACAAGTTAATAAAATGAAGTATAAATTTTAATACAAGAGACAAGTCCATAGACATCACCACTAACATTTAGAATGAAGGCAATCTTTATGTAAAATAATGATTCTAGCTAGGTGTGATAATGCATGCTTGTCATCCCAGCACTGTGGAAGGCTGAGGCAGGAATAGCACAAGTCTGAGCCTAGCCTGGCTAAATCAACAAGACCCTGCCTCAAAATAAAAAATAAAAAATAAAAAGAGGGCTGTGGGTGTCACTTAGTGTGAAGGCCCTGTATTCAATCCCTAGTAAAAAAGGAAAAAATTCTAGGCTAGGGGTTATAGCTCAGTAGTGGAGCATGTGCTAAGCATGTGTGAAGCCCTGGGTGCAATCTCCAGTGCCAAATAAAAATAAAATTAAATTAAAATAATGGTTCCCATAGATGGAAAAAATAAGCATATGTGCCTACAAAAAAATCTGCAAGCTTGACAGTAGTTTTTCTTTTAAAGGCAAAGTTAGGTAATAAACACAGAGCTGATATTCTGACAGGCACATGCTGCATGTCAGGAGGATGAGAGTGAAGCAGTATATGACTTCTGCAGCCTCTGCCACACCTCTGCTTCAAACTGGTCCTTAGAAAAATTCTGCAATGTCTTTTGAAAGTGCTGTTTTTATCATTACAAGTGAAAAGGAATCATTGAGTGCAAATAAAGTTCATTGAAAACAAAACATCTATATCAAACACTTCTGTGTTTACCGTCCCAGGCTCTGTTCTGAGCACCCTAATGCCCATGCCAGCTCGGGATAAAGATAAGGTCCTGAGCCTCCTTTGCCACATGGGGAAGCTGAACACAGAGAGGTCAGGCAGCCTGCCCTAGGTCTCTACCTCAGCTCATTCATTGTGAGGCAGAGCCTGGGCTCTAAAACTAGGAAAGCAGTGGCTTTTAAAACAGATCAGGCATGTCTGAAAATATAGTAAACCTGGATTTCTTCTAAGCAGAAGGCAAACTTTCTTAAAATGCCTTTTAGTGTAGGAAATAGAAACACTGACTGGGTAATATCGCTATTGGTAGAGTGTGGAATTGCCAGAAGAATGGTACCTACTGCATATCTATCTGGCTGTCCATCTGTCGGTCCATCTGTCCATCTGTCCATCCACCCATCTACTCACCCACCAAGTCTTGCAACCTGGGAGCTATTGACAATTCTTTATTCTGGGGGATGCCATATGGTTATGGTTGATACATTGTGTCAACTTGGGGAGTCTAGGGGTTTGGCTAAGTGACTCAGCAGTTGTATATCCTGGGGTGCAAAGAACATGCCCTTACAGCTTTGGGATGTTGTTACCTGTGTCAATGTGAGAAGTTTAGAAGGTTAACTATGTGAGTGCCGTCCCCTGGGTGGGGACAGCCTTCTTGCAGTATAAGGGAGGGAAACAGGCTTGCACACACTGCCATTCCCCCCTTTGCTCTTCTTGCTTTGCTATCTTCTGCCTTGGAACCAGCCAAGTATGGACTGAGACCTCCACAAACTGTAAGCTAAACAAACCTTTCCTTCCTTAATTTTGGGCATTGGGTATTTTGTCTTAGCAATAAGAGAAAAGTAACCAAGACACATACATACGGTAAGGTGTCTAGGATCATTTCTGGCCTCTACTCCCTAGAGGCCAGTAGACATTCTCTTTTGTATCCCTGTACCCTGGGTCCTGGTAAATAAACGTGTCTATGGACATTGTTATATATCTTCTAGAGGGGAACCTTATGTCCAGCTCAGAACCACTGATATGTATATCATGAATATATATGTAACAGATTCATGATATGATATGTTACAGGAGACTGAAACAAAAGAACCCTCTGAGAAATAAAATAAAATATATAGTCTTTCATTTAACTCTGGACAAATTAAAGAGCCAACTTAAAAACACGAAAGAAGAAGACATATAGGTAAATGCAGTTTAGACCTTGTGGTAAATAATCCTTCTCTACACATGGAAAAAATTCAGAAGAGGAAAAATAGTGTGTTTGACAAAATAGTAACATAAACCCATAAGGCAAAATGTTGTAAATTAAAATGCAAATAATAAATTGGGAAAAATATATGATGGCTTAATATTTAACAGCATTTATGTGCAAAAGTTGTAATCATTCTTAAGAAAAATGAATAATATTCCAACCTATAATTGAGCATGAGATATGTCAGGCAATTTACCTTAAGAAGTACAAAAGAAATGCCAAATGACAACATAATTTTAACTGGTACTAATTAATCAGGTTATATACTGGGACTAGATGGTCTCTAAGGTGCTTCCATTTTAAATTCTATCATTCCTTATAAAAAGCAGTGGGGTTCTTCATTCAGACAAGGGAGAGATATATTCAAGTGTTGCATAGTTAATACATCCCAAACAAAAGAAAGTGACAATAGTAACCAGCTGTTCCTTTCTCTTCACTGAAAGGAAAATTGAATAAGAACAAAACTGCAGCATTAAAAATTTAAGCTAGAGTAAGAGAAAACTTATTTGACATCAGAAGATGTTAGAAAGTAGAGAACATTTAGGTTGCCTCTTGGTGTTTAGCTAAGTTCAAAAGGCGGAAAGATTCAAATGTAAATCCAACAGAACATCTCTGGAAGTTTTTTTCATATAAATAGAATAAGTCCTTCTAATCTAGGGAAATTTAAATGCAGTCTTAGACAAAGAGAAGAGGACACATGGGAACTAGAGTTTACATTTAAGATTTTTGCTTTACACATCTTTCATAAAACTAATTTAAGCACTACCAAAATTTAGTGACCTTCCAAAAAATTACAATGAGCTCACAAAATATTATGTTCAGGTAAGTAGTGAAATCCTTTCACAGAGTCTGAATTTATCCATAATATAAGTAGTTATTACTGTTATGAATATATACTTCAATAGATACTAGAAATAATATTATAGGGCTTATTCTATACACTTTACTATATGCTGGGCTTTGTGCTAAGCACCTTACATACTGTCAGCTTG